CCTTTTGACGACAAGACCGAAGACAGGTTCACTAACAGGTACACTAACAGATATCATCTACAACCCTAATTGAATCAACAAAACGGCCACGCATAATAAAACAACTTCCCCCTCCTCCTCGTCATCGGCCTAAATATCCTTTTACAAATTCCTACGCATGACAAAACCCCCTTCTCACACACCTACACACCCTATTCGGGTAAAGATCACTCTAAACAACCACAAATTCCTACGCAGGACAAAACAACCCTCACACACAAGCAATCACAAATTCCTACGCATGACAAAACGCCTCTCTCTCACACTCCTTCACACTCTATTCGGGTAAAGATCACTCTAAACAACCACACATTTTTTCGCATGACAAAACACCCCTCACACACACACACCTTTGGGGTGAGAAAGAGACAAGACAAGACAAGACATGACAAAACACCCCACCCGCACTTTCACCATTTCTTTGGGGTGATCCTCACCCCCACCCCCTGTTCCTCACTTTTATTACTTAATTATCCCAATTGGGTCATTAAAACACCTGTGTGCAACCATGCGTGACTAATTAGGGTCACCCCTGCCCCCTTTTTTGACATGATTTATTACTTAATTATGCTGTGTGACTAATTAGTGTCACCCCAACCGCCTTTTTGACATGATTTATTACCTAGTGAGCCAGGACCCGTATTTATACCCGTTACTCGTAGAATAAAAGGGTATACTAGATTCGTCGGAAAGTATGTAACAGGCAGAAGGAAGCGTTTCCGACCCCATAAAGTATATATATTCTTGATCAGGATCACTAGCCGAGTCGATCTAGCCATGTCCGTTTGTCCGTCTGTCTGTCCGGATCAACGCTGAGATCTCGGAAACTATGGGAGCTAGGCTATTGAGATTTGGCGTGCAGATTCCTGAGCTTCTTACGCAGCGCAAGTTTGTTTCAGTAGAGTGCCACGCCCACTCTAACGCCCACAATCCGCCCAAAACTGTGGCTCCTACAGTTTTGATGCTAGAATAAAAATTTTAACTGAAATGTAATGTTCTCATCAATACCTATCGATTGACCCAAAAAAAAATTTGCCACGCCCACCCTAACGCCCATAAACCGCCCACAAACTTCAAAAAATTGTAAGTATGAACGTGGATATCTCGGAAACTATCAAAGATAGAGAATTGGGATTTCAGATTTAGATTCCGTAGCCTTATACGCAGCGCAAGTTTGTTACACGAATATGCCACGCCCACTCTAACGCCCACAAACCGCGAAAACCTGTGACGCCCACAATTTTTATGCTAGATGAAAATTTTAACTGAAATGTATTGTCCTAGTCAATACCTATCGTAGTGATAGTTCACGGCAAGTCGGTTTGTTCAACACATCTGAGAAACATTAACTTGTGTGCTTTAATAATTCTTAATAAGAGACCATAACAACTCATAACACTTGTTTACAGTTGGTAACCATCCAAAACCAATTACTTTACAGGTACTATACACAAAGTAACCATCCAAAAACAAGACTAAACAGAATGAACCCATCAAAATACTGCTGGGTAACAACTGAATACAACGTGTCCAACGTGTCGAGTCCAAGTCGGTATGACTACTACCCTAAAAAATTTTATATCTATGGATAATCTTCAAAGTCCAATTCTGTTAAATTCTGGATGGAGCTGTGCAGACGAAATTTCTACGGGACCTCACATCAAGTTTTTTGTACCATTAAAAAATTTGTTGGGATATGCTGAGGATTATAAAAAAGTTTTGTTAAAATGTAAACATGAACTAGGTTGATGGTAACTAAGAATCTTGACGATGTGTTTGAGCGAATCAGAAATAAACAAAACTTTTAAACTGGAAATTACGAATATAACCTGAAAAATTCCCTATGTAACTCCGAGCGATTTTGCAAAAATTAAGAGGTACGATATTATAAAAAGTGGTGTTGGTACTCATATGTTAACCTCAAATTGGGGTATCGGAGTCAACACAACAGGTATGTGAAATTGTCGACTTACCGCGAAAAACCACGATTTGTAATAATTGGATTTACACTAAATGGAGAACTTATCACAAATAATTTATCAAACTTATCACAAATAATTTATCAAACTTGAAAGTTCACTTGAATTCTTAGTCATATCGATATGATAATCTGAATGTTGATTTAAGTAAGAATCAGTATGCTCACCTATATGAAATGTATACAAGATTTCAATCGAATTACTATAATCGTGAATCACAACCAGTTTTGACCCTAACTGAATTTAAATTGAACGCCCCTATTATTTTGGTTGATCTTTCATATCAAAACGAATCAGTGAAAACTGGTCCTATTGATGTGAGAAATTCAATTAAACTGAAGGCACCAAGACATGAAAATACCCAAGCTTATTGTCTACTCATACATAACCGTTCAGTTAAATATAACCCATTAAAAGGACTAGTACAACGAGTTGTTTAACATTAGAAAAATATTGCAATATACTGTTTCGATTGATGTTCAAGGTTTCTTTGATAATAATAATAATTTTATTCTAAAGGAAATTGGAATTATATTCGAAAAAGATCCAAACTTGATTAATAGTTTTTTAATGGAACCACCATATGACTTTACTTTGCTCAATACAAAACCTCAAAAGACTGCAATTTGGTTAACCAATACACATCACAAAATTTTATGGAACGATGGAAAAAACAGTTTTCCACAAACTCGAAAGTATCTAAGGACAATTACAAGCGAAAAAACAAATTATTTTTAAAGGTGTGGAAAAGAAATGATTTCTACAGACGTTTTTTGGGAGTCGTCAGCTCATTAACATCGCGGAAATGGGCTGCCCGTCATTAAACAGGTTTAAAGGAAACCGGTTTCTCTATTGTGAAATACACCTTAAGGGCGGGGTTTGTGCTCTTAGCAATGCATACATTATTTTGACGTTTCTTAAAAGTAGCTCCAAAAAAGTAAAATAATTTGTATACATAATTTTAAAGTTGTTGAGTTCATGACGAAATTGACCAATTTGTTGAACAATTTAAAGGACAGATAATTGGTCAACATTTTCAATACCTTCTAAACACTAAAACTATGTTCATGAATCGAGGTGGAAATGATCTCACAACTACGAATTATGGTGAACACCTTACATTTTGTAATCCTGAAATGGCGTCGACAGCAATACCAAAATAAATTAATAAATGCATTATTACGCTACAAGGTAAACTTCTGACTTCTTATTCCGAGTTGAAATTACAGGTACGGGGAATGGAAAATATTACCTTGACGGAGATGTGTCGGCTACTTGCGAGTTGTTGCGCGGTCGTGATTTCAACCCATGTTATGGGACGTGTCAGAGCTAGCAGTCAGCCGTGAGGTCGTTGACGTGAGGCCCATGATCTTGTCAATGAGCGTGCGCCTTCAGGCTTGTGCATGTGTCCCTTTTATTGCGGTCAGGAAATGGACAGGTGCGCATGTTCGGGTGGCTCTTGCTTGAATCTCTTTTATGACATGTTTATAACCCATTTGTGGAAAGGAGAGAATCCTAGACAATTTAACCTTAAACGTTCTGGGGCGGAAAAACAAAAATGTGTGTTTGAAAATATTCCACATCTGAGAATCATTAACTTGTGAGATTCATTTTATTGGGGTTCTTTTGATTTCTAAATAAGTTTTGCAATCATGGGAAACATTATTCCCCAACATGATCGGACATGTTCCTCTAAGATAACCACCTTTGGATACTTTCGGTGTGCGACCTTTCCCACGTACCTAGCAGCACCTGTGCTAACGAGGCAAAAGGATACGTGATCACATATTTCCCAACATGATCGAACATGATCTTGTCAATGAGCGTGCGCCTTCAGGCTTGTGCATGTGTCCCTTTTATTGCGGTCAGGAAATGGACAGGTGCGCATGTTCGGGTGGCTCTTGCTTGAATCTCTTTTATGACATGTTTATAACCCATTTGTTGAAAGGAGAGAATCCTAGACAATTTAACCTTAAACGTTCTGGGGCGGAAACAAAAATGTGTGTTTGAAAATATTCCACATCTGAGAATTATTAACTTGTGAGATTCATTTTATTGGGGTTCTTTTGATTTCTAAATAAGTTTTGCAATCATGGGAAACATTATTCCCCAACACGATCGGACATGTTCCTCTAAGATAACCACCTTTGGATACTTTCGGTGTGCGACCTTTCCCACGTACCTAGCAGCACCTGTGCTAACGAGGCAAAAGGATACGTGATCACATATTTCCCAACATGATCGAACATGTTCCTCTAAGATAACAACATTTTGATACTATGGGTGTGCGACCTTCTCACGTGCACAGCAACACCTGCTGAACATTAATTGCTGATAATGAGGGAAAGGATACATGATCAATATTGTTACAACAGGATGCAGCGTCGGGCATTCGCCAGAGTCATCCGTGATTACGGCAGGCGGAAAGGACACTGACATGGACGGCACAACAACAGTAGCAAAAGCATATCTTTTAAACAGGAAATGGTACTCCAAGGATACCCTAAGGATACCCTAAGGATACCCCAAGGATACCCTACGGATACCTCAAGAATACCCCAATGATACCCCAAGGATACCCTAAGGATACCCAAAGGATGCCCCATTGATAACCCAAGGATTCTCTAAGGATACCCCAAGGATACTCTAAGGACACCCCAAGGATACCATAAGGATACCCCGATGATACCCCAAGGATACCCTTTGGATACACCAAGGATACCCTAAGGAAACCCCAATGATACTCTAAGGATACCCCAAGGATACTCTAAGGATACCCCAAGGATACCCAAAGAGTACTCCTAAGGCTACCTCAAGGGTACCATGCAAGGACACCCAAGGATACTCTAAGGATACCCGAATGATGCCCAAATGGTACCTCTAAGGCTACCTCAAGGGTACCATGCAAGGACACCCCAAGGATACTCTAAGGATACCCGAATGATGCCCAAAGGGTACCCCTAAGGCTACCTCAAGGGTACCATGCAAGGACACCCCAAGGATAACAGACTAGGATACCTCCAAGAATACCGCTCAGGAACGCCCCGAAGGATACACTCCAAGGACAACCTCCAGAGATACTCACCAAGATTGGTCAAAGTCTCAAAAGCAAGTTAGTAAGGAAACTCAGAGGGGCAACGAACCGCAGCATTCAGAGTGATCTGACGAAGTACATCGTTTGTGTGTTTTACGAAGGAAGGGAGAAGACGGCAAATAAAGTGGTATGTGAACGAGGACCGGGATATCGCCGGAGGAGCCCGGTGGCCACGCCTCCGTGGAGGCCGGCCCGGCCGCAACCAGAGCGACCGACCGCGCAGCCGGAACTCGAGCGACTAACCGAGCAGCCGCAAGCCGCACGCGGATACGGCCCACCAGGCGCAGGCGGAAGAGAAGACTGTGGTGCGGACGGAGGTGCCGGCAGCTCACGTGAGCCACAGCACGCGGGCATTCTTGGCCGAGGGCGTGCGGTGACGGCAGCAGACGGTGGTGTGGACGTGGCCAGAGGTACCTGTAACGGAGGCGGCGACGGACGAGCCCACCCTAACGCCCATAAACCGCCCACAAACTTCAAAAAATCGTAAGTATGAACGTGGATATCTCGGAAACTATCAAAGATAGAGAATTGGGATTTCAGATTTAGATTCCGTAGCCTTATACGCAGCGGAAGTTTGTTACACGAATATGCCACGCCGACTCTAACGCCCACAAACCGCGAAAACCTGTGACGCCCTCAATTTTTATGCTAGATAAAAAATTTTAACTGAAATGTATTGTCCTAGTCAATACCTATCGTAATGATAGTTCACGGCAAGTCGGTTTGTTCAACACATCTGAGAAACATTAACTGGTGTGCTTTAATAATTCTTAATAAGAGACCATAACAACTCATAACACTTGTTTACAGTTGGTAACCATCCAAAACCAATTACTTTACAGGTACTATACACAAAGTAACCATCCAAAAACAAGACTAAACAGAATGAACCCATCAAAATACTGCTGGGTAACAACTGAATACAACGTGTCCAACGTGTCGAGTCCAAGTCGGTATGACTACTACCCGAAAAAATTTTATATCTATGGATAATCTTCAAAGTCCAATTCTGTTAAATTCTGGATGGAGCTGTGCAGACGAAATTTCTACGGGACCTCACATCAAGTTTTTGTACCATTAAAAAATTTGTTGGGATATGCTGAGGATTATAAAAAAGTTTTGTTAAAATGTAAACATGAACTAGGTTGATGGTAACTAAGAATCTTGACGATGTGTTTGAGCGAATCAGAAACAAACAAAACTTTTAAACTGGAAATTACGAATATAACCTGAAAAATTCCCTATGTAACTCCGAGCGATTTTGCAAAAATTAAGAGGTACGATATTATAAAAAGTGGTGTTGGTACTCATATGTTAACCTCAAATTGGGGTATCGGAGTCAACAAAACAGGTATGTGAAATTGTCGACTAACCGCGAAAAACCACGATTTGTAATAATTGGATTTACACTAAATGGAGAACTTATCACAAATAATTTATCAAACTTATCACAAATAATACTTATCACAAAAATTTTTATCAAACTTGAAAGTTCACTTGAATTCTTAGTCATATCGATATGATAATCTGAATGTTGATTTAAGTAAGAATCAGTATGCTCACCTATATGAAATGTATACAAGATTTCAATCGAATTACTATAATCGTGAATCACAACCATTTTTGACCCTAACTGAATTTAAATTGAACGCCCCTATTATTTTGGTTGATCTTTCATATCAAAACGAATCAGTGAAAACTGGTCCTATTGATGTGAGAAATTCAATTAGACTGAAGGCACCAAGACATGAAAATACCCAAGCTTATTGTCTACTCATACATAACCGTTCAGTTAAATATAACCCATTAAAAGGACTAGTACAACGAGTTGTTTAACATTAGAAAAATATTGCAATATACTGTTTCGATTGATGTTCAAGGTTTCTTTGATAATAATAATAATTTTATTCTAAAGGAAATTGGAATTATATTCGAAAAAGATCCAAACTTGATTAATAGTTTTTTAATGGAACCACCATATGACTTTACTTTGCTCAATACAAAACCTCAAAAGACTGCAATTTGGTTAACCAATCCACATCACAAAATTTTATGGAACGATGGAAAAAACAGTTTTCCACAAACTCGAAAGTATCTAAGGACAATTACAAGCGAAAAAACAAATTATTTTTAAAGGTGTGGAAAAGAAATGATTTCTAAAGACGTTTTTTGGGAGTCGTCAGCTCATTAACATCGCGGAAATGGGCTGCACGTCATTAAACAGGTTTAAAGGAAACCGGTTTCCCTATTGTGAAATACACCTTAAGGGCGGGGTTTGTGCTCTTAGCAATGCATACATTATTTTGACGTTTCTTAAAAGTAGCTCCAAAAAAGTAAAATAATTTGTATACATAATTTTAAAGTTGTTGAGTTCATGACGAAATTGACCAATTTGTTGAACAATTTAAAGGACAGATAATTGGTCAACATTTTCAATACCTTCTAAACACTAAAACTATGTTCATGAATCGAGGTGGAAATGATCTCACAACTACGAATTATGGTGAACACCTTACATTTTGTAGTCCTGAAATGACGTCGACAGCAATACCAAAATAAATTAATAAATGCATTATTACGCTACAAGGTAAACTTCTGACTTCTTATTCCGAGTTGAAATTACAGGTACGGGGAATGGAAAATATTACCTTGACGGAGATGTGTCGGCTACTTGCGAGTTGTTGCGCGGTCGTGATTTCAACCCATGTTATGGGACGTGTCAGAGCTAGCAGTCAGCCGTGAGGTCGTTGACGTGAGGCCCATGATCTTGTCAATGAGCGTGCGCCTTCAGGCTTGTGCATGTGTCCCTTTTATTGCGGTCAGGAAATGGACAGGTGCGCATGTTCGGGTGGCTCTTGCTTGAATCTCTTTTATGACATGTTTATAACCCATTTGTGGAAAGGAGAGAATCCTAGACAATTTAACCTTAAACGTTCTGGGGCGGAAACAAAAATGTGTGTTTGAAAATATTCCACATCTGAGAATTATTAACTTGTGAGATTCATTTTATTGGGGTTCTTTTGATTTCTAAATAAGTTTTGCAATCATGGGAAACATTATTCCCCAACACGATCGGACATGTTCCTCTAAGATAACCACCTTTGGATACTTTCGGTGTGCGACCTTTCCCACGTACCTAGCAGCACCTGTGCTAACGAGGCAAAAGGATACGTGATCACATATTTCCCAACATGATCGAACATGTTCCTCTAAGATAACAACATTTTGATACTATGGGTGTGCGACCTTCTCACGTGCACAGCAACACCTGCTGAACATTAATTGCTGATAATGAGGGAAAGGATACATGATCAATATTGTTACAACAGGATGCAGCGTCGGGCATTCGCCAGAGTCATCCGTGATTACGGCAGGCGGAAAGGACACTGACATGGACGGCACAACAACAGTAGCAAAAGCATATCTTTTAAACAGGAAATGGTACTCCAAGGATACCCTAAGGATACCCTAAGGATACCCCAAGGATTCCCTAAGGATACCCCAAGGATACCCTACGGATACCTCAAGAATACCCCAATGATACCCCAAGGATACCCTAAGGATACCCAAAGGATGCCCCATTGATAACCCAAGGATTCTCTAAGGATACCCCAAGGATACTCTAAGGACACCCCAAGGATACCATAAGGATACCCCGATGATACCCCAAGGATACCCTTTGGATACACCAAGGATACCCTAAGGAAACCCCAATGATACTCTAAGGATACCCCAAGGATACTCTAGGGATACCCCAAGGATACCCAAAGAGTACTCCTAAGGCTACCTTAAGGGTACCATGCAAGGACACCCCAAGGATACTCTAAGGATACCCGAATGATGCCCAAAGGGTACCCCTAAGGCTACCTCAAGGGTACCATGCAAGGACACCCCAAGGATACTCTAAGGATACCCGAATGATGCCCAAAGGTACCCCTAAGGCTACCTCAAGGGTACCATGCAAGGACACCCCAAGGATAACAGACTAGGATACCTCCAAGAATACCGCTCAGGAACGCCCCGAAGGATACACTCCAAGGACAACCTCCAGAGATACTCACCAAGATTGGTCAAAGTCTCAAAAGCAAGTTAGTAAGGAAACTCAGAGGGGCACCGAACCGCAGCATTCAGAGTGATCTGACGAAGTACATCGTTTGTGTGTTTTACGAAGGAAGGGAGAAGACGGCAAATAAAGTGGTATGTGAACGAGGACCGGGATATCGCCGGAGGAGCACGGTGGCCACGCCTCCGTGGAGGCCGGCCCGGCCGCAACCAGAGCGACCGACCGCGCAGCCGGAACTCGAGCGACTAACCGAGCAGCCGCAAGCCGCACGCGGATACGGCCCACCAGGCGCAGGCGGAAGAGAAGACTGTGGTGCGGACGGAGGTGCCGGCAGCTCACGTGAGCCACAGCACGCGGGCATTCTTGGCCGAGGGCGTGCGGTGACGGCAGCAGACGGTGGTGTGGACGTGGCCAGAGGTACCTGTAACGGAGGCGGCGACGGACGAGCCCACCCTAACGCCCATAAACCGCCCACAAACTTCAAAAAATCGTAAGTATGAACGTGGATATCTCGGAAACTATCAAAGATAGAGAATTGGGATTTCAGATTTAGATTCCGTAGCCTTATACGCAGCGGAAGTTTGTTACACGAATATGCCACGCCGACTCTAACGCCCACAAACCGCGAAAACCTGTGACGCCCACAATTTTTATGCTAGATAAAAAATTTTAACTGAAATGTATTGTCCTAGTCAATACCTATCGTAATGATAGTTCACGGCAAGTCGGTTTGTTCAACACATCTGAGAAACATTAACTTGTGTGCTTTAATAATTCTTAATAAGAGACCATAACAACTCATAACACTTGTTTACAGTTGGTAACCATCCAAAACCAATTACTTTACAGGTACTATACACAAAGTAACCATCCAAAAACAAGACTAAACAGAATGAACCCATCAAAATACTGCTGGGTAACAACTGAATACAACGTGTCCAACGTGTCGAGTCCAAGTCGGTATGACTACTACCCTAAAAAATTTTATATCTATGGATAATCTTCAAAGTCCAATTCTGTTAAATTCTGGATGGAGCTGTGCAGACGAAATTTCTACGGGACCTCACATCAAGTTTTTGTACCATTAAAAAATTTGTTGGGATATGCTGAGGATTATAAAAAAGTTTTGTTAAAATGTAAACATGAACTAGGTTGATGGTAACTAAGAATCTTGACGATGTGTTTGAGCGAATCAGAAATAAACAAAACTTTTAAACTGGAAATTACGAATATAACCTGAAAAATTCCCTATGTAACTCCGAGCGATTTTGCAAAAATTAAGAGGTACGATATTATAAAAAGTGGTGTTGGTACTCATATGTTAACCTCAAATTGGGGTATCGGAGTCAACACAACAGGTATGTGAAATTGTCGACTAACCGCGAAAAACCACGATTTGTAATAATTGGATTTACACTAAATGGAGAACTTATCACAAATAATTTATCAAACTTATCACAAATAATACTTATCACAAAAATTTTTATCAAACTTGAAAGTTCACTTGAATTCTTAGTCATATCGATATGATAATCTGAATGTTGATTTAAGTAAGAATCAGTATGCTCACCTATATGAAATGTATACAAGATTTCAATCGAATTACTATAATCGTGAATCACAACCATTTTTGACCCTAACTGAATTTAAATTGAACGCCCCTATTATTTTGGTTGATCTTTCATATCAAAACGAATCAGTGAAAACTGGTCCTATTGATGTGAGAAATTCAATTAAACTGAAGGCACCAAGACATGAAAATACCCAAGCTTATTGTCTACTCATACATAACCGTTCAGTTAAATATAACCCATTAAAAGGACTAGTACAACGAGTTCTTTAACATTAGAAAAATATTGCAATATACTGTTTCGATTGATGTTCAAGGTTTCTTTGATAATAATAATAATTTTATTCTAAAGGAAATTGGAATTATATTCGAAAAAGATCCAAACTTGATTAATAGTTTTTTAATGGAACCACCATATGACTTTACTTTGCTCAATACAAAACCTCAAAAGACTGCAATTTGGTTAACCAATCCACATCACAAAATTTTATGGAACGATGGAAAAAACAGTTTTCCACAAACTCGAAAGTATCTAAGGACAATTACAAGCGAAAAAACAAATTATTTTTAAAGGTGTGGAAAAGAAATGATTTCTAAAGACGTTTTTTGGGAGTCGTCAGCTCATTAACATCGCGGAAATGGGCTGCCCGTCATTAAACAGGTTTAAAGGAAACCGGTTTCCCTATTGTGAAATACACCTTAAGGGCGGGGTTTGTGCTCTTAGCAATGCATACATTATTTTGACGTTTCTTAAAAGTAGCTCCAAAAAAGTAAAATAATTTGTATACATAATTTTAAAGTTGTTGAGTTCATGACGAAATTGACCAATTTGTTGAACAATTTAAAGGACAGATAATTGGTCAACATTTTCAATACCTTCTAAACACTAAAACTATGTTCATGAATCGAGGTGGAAATGATCTCACAACTACGAATTATGGTGAACACCTTACATTTTGTAGTCCTGAAATGACGTCGACAGCAATACCAAAATAAATTAATAAATGCATTATTACGCTACAAGGTAAACTTCTGACTTCTTATTCCGAGTTGAAATTACAGGTACGGGGAATGGAAAATATTACCTTGACGGAGATGTGTCGGCTACTTGCGAGTTGTTGCGCGGTCGTGATTTCAACCCATGTTATGGGACGTGTCAGAGCTAGCAGTCAGCCGTGAGGTCGTTGACGTGAGGCCCATGATCTTGTCAATGAGCGTGCGCCTTCAGGCTTGTGCATGTGTCCCTTTTATTGCGGTCAGGAAATGGACAGGTGCGCATGTTCGGGTGGCTCTTGCTTGAATCTCTTTTATGACATGTTTATAACCCATTTGTGGAAAGGAGAGAATCCTAGACAATTTAACCTTAAACGTTCTGGGGCGGAAACAAAAATGTGTGTTTGAAAATATTCCACATCTGAGAATTATTAACTTGTGAGATTCATTTTATTGGGGTTCTTTTGATTTCTAAATAAGTTTTGCAATCATGGGAAACATTATTCCCAACACGATCGGACATGTTCCTCTAAGATAACCACCTTTGGATACTTTCGGTGTGCGACCTTTCCCACGTACCTAGCAGCACCTGTGCTAACGAGGCAAAAGGATACGTGATCACATATTTCCCAACATGATCGAACATGTTCCTCTAAGATAACAACATTTTGATACTATGGGTGTGCGACCTTCTCACGTGCACAGCAACACCTGCTGAACATTAATTGCTGATAATGAGGGAAAGGATACATGATCAATATTGTTACAACAGGATGCAGCGTCGGGCATTCGCCAGAGTCATCCGTGATTACGGCAGGCGGAAAGGACACTGACATGGACGGCACAACAACAGTAGCAAAAGCATATCTTTTAAACAGGAAATGGTACTCCAAGGATACCCTAAGGATACCCTAAGGATACCCAAGGATTCCCTAAGGATACCCAAGGATACCCTACGGATACCTCAAGAATACCCCAATGATACCCCAAGGATACCCTAAGGATACCCAAAGGATGCCCCATTGATAACCCAAGGATTCTCTAAGGATACCCCAAGGATACTCTAAGGACACCCCAAGGATACCATAAGGATACCCCGATGATACCCCAAGGATACCCTTTGGATACACCAAGGATACCCTAAGGAAACCCCAATGATACTCTAAGGATACCCCAAGGATACTCTAAGGATACCCCAAGGATACCCAAAGAGTACTCCTAAGGCTACCTCAAGGGTACCATGCAAGGACACCCAAGGATACTCTAAGGATACCCGAATGATGCCCAAATGGTACCTCTAAGGCTACCTCAAGGGTACCATGCAAGGACACCCCAAGGATACTCTAAGGATACCCGAATGATGCCCAAAGGGTACCCTAAGGCTACCTCAAGGGTACCATGCAAGGACACCCCAAGGATAACAGACTAGGATACCTCCAAGAATACCGCTCAGGAACGCCCCGAAGGATACACTCCAAGGACAACCTCCAGAGATACTCACCAAGATTGGTCAAAGTCTCAAAAGCAAGTTAGTAAGGAAACTCAGAGGGGCAACGAACCGCAGCATTCAGAGTGATCTGACGAAGTACATCGTTTGTGTGTTTTACGAAGGAAGGGAGAAGACGGCAAATAAAGTGGTATGTGAACGAGGACCGGGATATCGCCGGAGGAGCACGGTGGCCACGCCTCCGTGGAGGCCGGCCCGGCCGCAACCAGAGCGACCGACCGCGCAGCCGGAACTCGAGCGACTAACCGAGCAGCCGCAAGCCGCACGCGGATACGGCCCACCAGGCGCAGGCGGAAGAGAAGACTGTGGTGCGGACGGAGGTGCCGGCAGCTCACGTGAGCCACAGCACGCGGGCATTCTTGGCCGAGGGCGTGCGGTGACGGCAGCAGACGGTGGTGTGGACGTGGCCAGAGGTACCTGTAACGGAGGCGGCGACGGACGAGCCCAGGATATGGGAAGAGGGGGTCCCCAAGGTGAGCCCTCGGCATCCCCGGACGAGAGGCCGCAGTTCACGCGGCAAGTGTCGGCCCCAGAGGAAGAAGGTTGGCGCGAGGTAGCCAGGAGCGAGTGGCTGTAGCGAGTCGATAGGCGCGGAAGGCGCGGTCGCGACGGCGCGGTGGAAGAGTGGCATGCGGTGCGCCCTGGTCACCTTTTGGTTCCTTTAACTGAGTAACGGGTATCTAATAGTCGAGGTACTCAAATATCGCGTTCTTTCTTCTTTATATTTATTTTATTATTGTAAAAAAAAAATACTTCATTAAATGAATTATTAAATATATAATTTATTTATTTGTATATAATTCATTTTCTGACTCCACCCCCTGTAAGAAATATATCGGTTATTAACCTTCGTTCCAAACGCAGATTTGGTTCCCATAGATAGACGTAATTTATTTCTCGTTATTTAATGTTTCTCAGATGTTGGATTATTTTTAAAGCATTCATTTGTTCCATCCCACATTAACATTATAACATGTTTCGAAGGCATTACTGCCTAACATAGGAGCGTCTTTTAATTTAATTTCTGATCCAAGATCCATGAAAGAGGTGTTGGGACCTGGTAATATCTGTTTCTAGTTGCAAACTATTTTTCTAGTTCTAGTTTTCTAGTTCTATTATATTTGTACACTATTTGTATGAGTTAGGCATCATTGTCTAGTTAGCATCAACACTAGTTCGTGCTTACATTTTAACAAAACATTTTTATAATCCTCAGCAAATCCAAACAACAAGTGGGGTCCCGCAGAAATTTCGTCTCCACTACTCCATCCAGAATTTAATACATTTTGACTTTGAAGATATAACATTTTGTAGGGTAGTAGTCATACCGACATGGACTTGAGACGTTGGAGACGTTGTATTAAGTTCTTATCTAGCAGTGTTTTGATGGATACTATCAGTTAGTCTTGGTTTTGGATGGTAACTATTTGTGTAGTACGTTTAAAGTACTTTGTTTTGTATGGTATATGTAAAGTACTTGGTTTTAGATGGTAACTAACTGTTAACAAGTGTTATGAGTTGACATAGTTTCTTATTAAGAATGATCAAAGCACACAAGTTAATGTTTCTTAGATGTGTTAGCCGTTCCGTTTCAGAATCGTCAACTATAAAAATGAGAAAGATTCTCTTTTTTCGGCAAATGATCCCTAATCATGTTACCAATAATAGGGACGCACACAAGACCTACCCCGATCATAAACCTCGCTTACGATAAACCGACTTGCCGTGAACTATCATTACCTGACCGTCATAAAAGTCACATGCCCAAGACCCAAGGCGCAGGACGACTGATTAGATCATACACCTCAAGACGATTGATAAGGGACGAAGTTACGACCGTGCAAAAGCTCGCAAGAAGCCGTACCTCATTGAACAAAATACTTCCCTCCTTTTGTACCTCTAGTTTTAATTACAGTCAGAAGCATATTTTGTAGGGTCATTTAATATTTTTTTTTATTTTCTTCTGGTAAACATTTTTATTAAATTTATAGTTAAATATATATTTGTATATAATTAATTTGCTCTGTCAGAAATATATCGGTAATTAACTTTCGTTCCAAATTCAGATTTTCGCTTGGTTTCCATAGATAGATGTAAAATAATTCTCACAATTTAATGTTTCTCAGATGTTGCATTAATTTTAAAAGATTCATTTGTTCCATCCCTCTGTAATATTAGAACATGTTTCGAAGGCATCATTGAATTCCCGGAGCCTAAGAACATATTTGAGGGCAGATCATTCCTTGGCTTGGCTAGCTATTATAGATGCTTAATTAAAGATTTTGCGTTAACAGCTAGGCCCATTTCGGACATTGGCAGCGATATAACCAAAACTCTTGGTCTTGCATGAGATCCGGCGACGGACGAGGTGCTGTTCTCTTTATCGTCTCTAGATCCCGGCTCCATGGCCTACCGACGATCGGTTCTGGCCACTGTTGCTCGTTTCTATGACCTGGTGGGCCTTCTTGGACCAGTAATCACAAAGGCCAAGGTGTTTCTTTAACAACTCTGCAAAAATAAATTGGATTAGGATGAAAGTTTGCCCTTGGCCCGTAACACCTGCTGGATTGAAATGTTCATCAGTCTTCAGAGCGTCCAACGCATATCATTCCCAAGATTTCAAATTCAACGTCTTCGTGGCAAACCGAGTGGCTTCTATACAGGAATTGGCTGCTAATATGGAATGGCATCTTGTTCCGACTGCACTGAATCCTGCCGACGTTTCGTCCAGGGGCACTACTCCGGATCACCTGGCGCTTTCTTAGATCTGGTCATGGCCCACCATTCTTACTTGGTGGTCGCAAGGATTGGCCTACGCGTCTGCATTATGACGATCCGAGCCTTGAGTTACGTAAACAGGTGCTGATGGTCAAGTTTCCTCACGTTGATATTACCCTTAGATCCAAATATGGCAACTCGTTCCCTTCCATGCAGCGCATGTTCGCGTACATTTACAAATTTTCTAACCGCTTAAGGCGGTCTACACGTGGAAGGCCTAGTCCAATTTGTTCGGACAATGCTACTAAACTTTGTACGAGCAAAAAATGAGTTGGCGGATTTGAAGCGGCTGCTGCTTAGCAATATGGAGTCTGTTCATCAAGCCTGCTTGGCGGAGGAAATCGACTGGCAATTTATTCCCCCTCGCTCATTACACTTTGGCGGATTTTGGGAGGCAGCAGTCAAGACGGCAAAACACCATTTCTACCGCTCTGTTGGCCGCCAAATGCTTAGTTTTGATGAGCTTCGCACTTTGGTTTTTCAAATTGCGCCAATAATTCTCGCCACTTGCTATCAATTTCAGAGAACCCAGATGATCTCGATGTTTTCACACCTACCCACCTACTTTTTGGTGGCCCTCCTACTACTATCATTGAGCCCGATCTAACCAAGCTCAATTATAACCGGTTGGATGGCTGGCAGCGTGTAACATACCTGCAGCAACTATTCTGGGAGGTGGCAGAAGGAGTACCTCACCCTTCTGCAACAACGCACCAAATGGCGGTCTCCTAAACGAAGGCTAAAGGTCAACGACGTAGTTCTGATAAAGGAGTAAAATCTACCTCCCATGCGCTGGCCCTTAGCTAGGGTGATCGCACTTATTCCTGGACGAGATGGCGTTTGCCGAGTTGCTGATCTGAAGACGTCCACGGGTGACATCAGGAAAGCTGTCAACAAGATGTGCCTGCTGCCCATCAATGATGATGTTGAAAGACAGGGAGTATGTTGAAAGAGAGATTCAGAATCACTAATTTCTAAGCGGCTCCTCTTATCTCTCTATTAATTGGAGCACCCAGTCTGAGCCCGCCTCTCAACGCCCGTAGCCCTTGTATATAAACGTTAAGAAACTGAAGTATTGAATTTATTTCGCCTTGTGATTTGTTTTTTAAATAGCTAACACAAGAGCTTTTTAGCTCAACAAAGTTGATATGTATTACATACATTAAAAAATATATCTGAAGGAGCACTTAACTTATCTGCAACAACAATTTCGGAAGGCGAATTCAACATTTCTCTCTGTTTTAAAACAATTGCTTTACATCTTTTGCAGTTTTTTTATTCCTTAAAAATATAACCTACAAAATATCGGCTTGAGGTCAATTCAATGGGTATATTGGTGAAAACAAAATCATCTGCGAAACTATCAAAATAAGCTTCATTTTCCAACACAATTTCGGAAATTAAAACAGTTTCATCATTGCTTGCAACTTTAATTTCACTAGGCTCGTAAAATATAGAGTCCAGCTCGACAGGAAGCATAATATCAGAATCGGGTTCTTAATTTTATTTCGAAAAAAATTATGAACTTTTAGAGACATAAACTTACCAATAATTTTATTTAATTGATGAACTGTTCATTTTATTTAATTGTTTAAAAAAAAACCCTTTGCATAAAAAAAAAAATTGTTCACAGTCGGAGTTGAACTCCGACCTGCAATTCCCGCGGTTAAGCGACTATACCCCTGGCCTACAGGCCATTGACACCTCGCGTTAGTCAAATGCGACATTGAGCCCTTATTGGAATTGATACACCAACACAACCAAAGAGCTTTACACGGACAACGCACACTAGCAAGATCAAAAATACACATCGAAAATCAACACCAAAAATTTTGCCGGACATTCCGTTGTAGTTCTTGTAGTTTATATTATCTTTGGAAGAACTCTATAGTCGAGTATCTCGACTATCAGATACCCGTTACTCAGCTAAAGGGACCAAAAGGAAATGGAGATATGCAAGCAGCAAAGCGAGTTTGAAATGCGTCACCTACCCGTGATCTCAATATATGGTTATGTGGGCGGTTGACAGATTTAAGCGTTATGGGCGTTAGAGTGGGCATGGCAATCTTTTTTTTTGGATCAATCAGTAGGTATTGACGAGACTAATACATTTCGGTTATAATTTTGTATCTACACTCATAGAAATTTTACTGGTTTTACAGTAAAAAAAAAACAAAAGGAAAAAAAAAAAAGAAAAACCTCCCTAAAACGGGGATCAATGGCGACTGGGTAACAAGATAAGGGCAACATTTTCTAAAAACAGGCATGTATTGGTCTTACATTTAGGGCTATTTTTCTTAGATCTAGGGTGAATTTTCTTAAATGTAGGCCAATTTTTCTGTTTTCAAAGGTAAATACCCTTAACATATGAAAAAAATTGTAGGCATCAACGGCGGTATTTCCTAAAATTATGGTGAAGCGCCTTCAAAACAAGAGCAAGTGCCCTACATATTAAACCAAATTTTTATAAAAAATTCGTGTTTGGACATGTTTTCTGGTACTTTTTCTAGGATTTTTTTTAGGATTATTTGACTTGGTATCCGATATTTACTATAATTTGAGAGGGTGAGAAGGCAAGGTTATTATTTGGCCGCTCCACGCATGTTGGTAAATTGCTAATTAGAGTCATATGAACTGAAAGAAGTCACTAAGTAGAATCAGGGAAATAACATAAATATAAAACAACTTACTTACTTAAAATCTTCGTGGTTGCAGCGAGAATCGACCGCTGGGTTCGCAGTCGAGAGCAGTACCGCTGCACCAAAGACGCATTTCGCTAGGCGACACGCAAAATAGGTT